GGAAATGGTGAAATCCGGATTTGCTGCTCGTCTCCTCTTAATAAAGACGCGGATCCAGTTGGTGTTGATAGTCCTGTCTCTACAGATTCAGTAAGTGGGCAACTAGTGGTCTTTGTTTGTTTATTCAGAGGCAAAGTTAGTTGGTATCGTCAGCAGTACTCTTTCAGTGTTTAAAGACGGACCTCAAATGATTTCTAAGTTAATAAAGTTTACCGTACGTTATCATCGCTACAATATCATGGACTGAAAAATCGCTGCTCTCCGAGTGTGAACGTGTAAGCACCACAACCAAATTTACCAACGTTTAGGATTTTTGCGGCATTTTGTAACAGGAATAACACACACGGCTTTCTGACGCTATCCACTGAGTGCATCTAAGTTACAGAGAAATGTGGAGGGTTTTTCTCTCATTCGCCGTGCAGTAACAAACATTGCATGAAAGATACACGCTTCCAGCAATTCCTTGAATCAAATATCTCGGTTGCCACGAGGGGCATGAATGAAATTCCAGAATGAAAGAGCCAAAGTGAAGTTAAAGTCCACCATTTAATAATTTGGTAAATAATTTGATCCCTTATGTCCATGTAAACACAGTCACTAGCTATGTTTCCATCCAAAAATGCGAATGAACTTGCAAAACTGGATTATCGCATAAAAGTTGTGCGAATGAAGCAGCGTTTCCATCCAACGAGTCAAAGCGACCAAAATCATCACTTCCTGATTAACTGGCGCCAAATATCAACAGTAAAAACTGCCTTTGCTGCAGTAGGAGAAGCTGCATCAAGCTTTTCTAAGTGAATGCGCCTCAAAAGACAATTCTGACATGCAGTGAGCGCGCAGTGGCGTGTGAAGGTGTCAGACGCGCAGCACAGGCGCTCTTGATTCATTAATAATATAATAACATTAATACTGAAATGGTAAGGTGTTTTATAATGACCAAAACAGCATTTCAGATGTTTTATAATGTACTCAGCCTGACGTTTTGTCCATTCATACACGATTTAAGCATCACATGATCTCCTTTAACAAAATCACATAACCTTTTTTAATGCGCATGTTGGAGTTTGTGCGGTAAAAGTGTTTTCATCGCAGTTTATGCACATCTTTTCTTATCGAATAAAAAGTTTGTCCTACCCAGTTAGGCGCATAAGTTTTTTATGCGCATTTTCAAAATTTACGCTCATCATGGCGTTTCCATCAACTGTTTTTTTTATGAGCATTTGCAAAATGCGCATAAAATAGGTGGATGGAAACATAGCTACTGTCTTTCTCCTCTGCGTCTGTGTTTGTTTTGCCTGTGTGAAAATCAGCGCATGCCCAAACCGACACTCCCATTTTTATGCAAATTTTTACGGACCATGGCTTTTGCCCTCCTCCGACACTCCCCCCTAAACAGAGCTGGACACGCCTACTTTCCAGACTTTTTCCAAAGTAGAGGTGTGAAAACACCCTGCTGAAACGAGGGGGTTTCATGACCCTTGGTTGGAACCAAAATATGCAGGACACCAGCCCTCCAGGGCCGAGTTTGGGCACCCATTTAGACCATTTATCATTTGATTTCTTTGTAGATCTGTATTTGCTGCTATCATTATTTACCTACTTCCTGGAGATCTACCTTCCTGTACAGTTTAGCTCCGACCCTGATCAAACCCACCTGAACCAATTAATTAGGACCTGAAATCCACTTGATAATTACAAACAGGTGTGTTTGATTAGGGTTGCAACTGAAATCTGCAGGAAGGTCGATCTCCAGGAACAGGATTGGCCACCCCTGACCTACTGCATTGTGAACCAGTGGGCGGAGCTTAACAGGCTGTGATGTAAAAGTAGGCGTTGATATTCTGTGTCGGTTGAGTTCAGTGTTGGGTGTAATTAGTTACCAAGTAACAAGTTACTGTAATTAAATACTTTTTCAGTTGTAAAAACAGGGTAAGGATTCATTTCATTCATTCTTTCATTTTTTATTCGGCTTAGTTTCTTATTTATCAGGGGTCACCACAGTGGAATGAACCACCAACTATTCCAGCATATGCTTTACGCAGCGGATACCCTTCCAACTGCAACCCAGTACTGGGAAACACCCATACACTCTCACATTCAACCACACACTATGGCTAATTTGGTTAAATTGGGTTTAGACTGTGCTGAGCACCAGGAGGAAACCCACGCCAACATGGGGAGAACATGCAAACTCCACACAGAAATTCCAACTGACCCAGCAAACTCAAACCAGCAACCATCTTGCTGTGAGGCAACAGTGCTAACCATTGAGCCATGATGCCGCCCAGGATATTTCATTTTCTCATGCAAACATAATGCACAACCTCAGTGTGATTATGCTTGTCAAACGACCGAGAGTTGGCATATGCTTGAACACGGAAGACGACCACGAGTGAAAAACATGCAGACACATGAGATATTCCTCTAATGAGATTGTTTTTCTCTTAGTGGAGCAGGTTTATCTGTCTGTCTCTGCCCTGTGACATCTCCAGCTACTATTATGAGACATGAGAGAAAGACGAATCAAATTAAAGTCTTGCATTATGTTACTCGCAGCATCCATCACACATCACAGCAGATGCTCGCTCCCGATCGATCTAATAGATCAGAGCTTTTCAACCCCGTTACTGGAGTTTATGATCAACCATCAGCTAATAATTACATCACTAGCAATCATGGACAGCATCAAATTAAGTCTCGAGGCATATCATGGTGCTTTATAGAGGGGTATAAATGTAGTGTCACATTTTAATCACATCAATTATATGTGCTCAAATGTATTGCTGCTTGTTCAAACTACACTACCTGACAAACGTCTTGTCGTCGATCCCAGTTGTAAGAGCAACAAATAATAACTTGACTTCTAGTTGATCATTTGGAAAAGTGTCAGAAGGTGAAAGGTTTTTCTGATGGATCATCTGTTGATCTGCATCCCAATCATCACCAATACTGCAGAAGACCTACTGGAACCAGCATGGACTGAAGATTCTTACAAAAATCAGTCAAGTTTGGTGAAGGAAAAGTCATGGTTTGGGGTTACATTCAGTATGGGGGCGTCGAGAGATCTGCAGAGTGGATGATCAACATCAACAGTCTGAGGTATCAAGACATTTGTGCTGCCCATTACATTACAAACCACAGGAGAGGGACAATTCTCCAGCAGGATAGCGCTCCTTCTCATACTTCAGCCTCCACATCAAAGCTCCTGAAAGCAAAGAAGGTCCAGGTTTGGCCAGCCCAGTCACCAGACATGAACCTTATTGAGCATGTCTGGGGTAAGATAAGGGAGGAGGCATTGAAGATGAATCTAATCCTATATAAATCCTATACTGTACATTATTTCTGTTCAGTGACAAGACGTTTTTCTAAGCAAAGTCAGATCTTACTATCCTAATTAAATAATTCATAAATCAAGGCATGATTATATTTTATTTGGTCAAATAAGCATAATCTATAGCCTTTTGCCTTTATATAAGCCACTTCTGATAGCAAATGATCAACTAGAAGTCAACTTATTTTTTGTTGTTCCTAAAACTTAGGTGACAAGACTTGTCAGATAGCGTATTTATTTAAAATGAGCTGAAACAACACAATTCTTAAGCTATTTTTAAACAACTCAGTTGTTTTAGGTTCAATCCACTTAAAATTTGCAATAGCAATTAATCTAACTTAATCGATTTGTGTTGAGACAACATGAAGGAATTGTGAAGAATCCAGGAGTTTTTACAGTTTAAGATGAATTCTGACACGACACAAAACGATGAACTTACAGTAATTGTTTTTACAAATTTAAGTGGATTGAGCATAAAACAATTAAGTTGTCTCAAATAACCCACAAGATCTGTGCTGACTAAAAATAAGTAGTTTGAACAGGCAGCAAAAATCATTGTTGAGTGTAAAATGTACAAAATATAAATGTATATCACATCATATCATATCATATCATATCATATCATATCATATCATATCATATGATATATATTTGACACCCCTAATATATATATATATATATATATATACACAGGGATTGACATTAACTTTTTTGATCACTAGCCACTGTGGCTAGTAGATTTCCAACCATACTAGCCACTCACCATTTTTTAGTAGCCACAATTTTATTGTTGGGAAGATATATTTAATATGCATAAATTTAACTTTGGCATGCTAAAATTACTTGTCCACATGCCTCAATAATTTCACTTTTTTGTGTGTGAACTTGCCTAATGTGCATGAGCAAATGGGTTGTGGTTTCATGGTGCAGCATTGCGATTGGTTTTGATTTCACAGGACTTTTCAGGGCTCAAAATGAAGGATTTACCAAATTTACCTCTGACCACACCAAAACTAAAAAAATATATATATATATTATTTCTTATCTACAAATGTTAAATGATATGTCAAAACATACAAAATATAGCTCTTTTTATTCAACAAAACCTTTCTTAAAAAACAATTACCTTTTCAAAAATAATTACTGCCATGTATCTAAAACTATGCACAGTGGCCTCCGTCCAGGCTAAAGGTCTCTCATATATATATATATATATATATATATATATATATATATATATATATATATATATATATATATATATATATATATATATATATATATATATATATGTTTTCTCTATCAGTTTGCTATCGACTGACCACTTCTCCAAACCCAACCCATAGTATTTTCAAAAGCAAACTAGAAGAGGAAAGACGTCACTTGCCATTTACCATGATTTTACACTGCTCTTGTTTTACATGGTTTACATCAGACTTGTCCATCTGATTTACAGTGAGAATACATAACAAAAAACAGCTCAGGGTTACTTACACAGAAAATTGGTGAACAGTTGCAAAGGAATTATATTTGCCTAACAGTGTAAGACTAGATCAGACTAGAATGTATATGAATATAATCTAGTGATCTAAATCTCTCAATAATCTGTCTTTAGTGAAAGATATGATGCGAATATTGCTGGAATTTTTTAAAAGATGCAATAAAAAATAATTTTAGGTAGCAAACCTCAAACTGTAATTCAGCCCTCCCAATGCAAACGCTTAGGAAAATGACTGTCCCTGTAAATAATCACTGATTTTAAAGTATTTTCTTTATGGTCATATGGAAGTATGTGCAATATAAATTGTAGTCTGAGCATAATACGTTTGCCCATGTTGTCATCCTGCTATTTTTTTCTACATTTTGAATTCGAGTATACTTCTTTTTCACATTCGCATACAAAATGTTAAAACCCGTAAACAAACTTGTTTTAATTTGCTGTGCCTGTTACTGTAACTCACCTCAGTCATGTGGATCAAGTAGAATCGCAGATCTTTACAGTGATCTGAGGGGGAAAAAACAGAACATTTTTAACACTTACATGACAAAGACATGCATGATTTTCAGGATTACTATCCTACTAATCACAGTATACTTTGATCTGGGCCAGATTTTCCTATATCAAGGTATCTTGGCATTTAAAAGTGCTCTTTTAAAATGTGCAAGATTATGAACACCCTTAGTAGTTATATATGTTTCCCAAAAAACGCACAGTGAACTCATATTGCTGTACATGCCACTGAGTCACTTTCCATTTGTAATGTGCTGAAATATAACCTTATATAGAGGCTTATCCTGAAAGTTTAAACTAATAATCGTCATCTAATGACGTCATTATCAATCAGAACAGGTCAGTATAAAGCATGTATAGCAGAGGTGCTCAAAGTAGAGCCTGCGAGCCAAAGTTGGCCCATGGTAACCTTTGGTCCCATCTGAAAAGAGAGGGAGAATGATGGGGAAAGGCTTTGACAGAGATCGTCATTTAGAATTTAATGTAACATTTTAAATGGGATTGTTTATGATTTTACTATAATTTTCATAATAAAATGTTAAAAATGATGCTGCATCATTGATTAATATGTTTAAAAGCAACATTTTCTAGTCGTTTTCAAATATTAGGAAATAAATTGGGAAATTACCCATGGCAAATTTTATGCAATACAGTTTGGCATATTTAACTTCGGCCCACAGCCCTCAGTCAAGTTTTGTTTTTGACCCCTTATAAGAAAAAGTTCGGGCACCCCTGATCTATAGACTGAAGCCGGGGAAAAATGAAGTTTATGCATAAGAAATGCCCAATATATGGTTGCATGGTTGACGTCTGTGCACATCAGCAAGTGTTTTTTCAGTTTATCCCAATTTTTCACAGTGTTTAAAGCTTATATCCTTCATATTTTATAATTTTTTTATGCGGGCAATGTTATTAGCCCTCCTGTCCTCCTTTTCAAGTATTTCCCAAGAGCTGTTTAGCAGATCAAGCACAATTTCATAGTATTTCCTGTAATGTTATTTCTCGTGATTTTTATATATATATATATATATATATATATATATATGAGCAATATCACACGAGTAGCAATGCGATATGGCTGTATATCGCCGATATATATAGTGCCGATATACAGCCATATCGCACTGCTACGAGTGTGATATTGCGTTTATACAACAGTTTGACGACATAATTGTGTATATAAAAACAAAATCAAACATGGAGAGTCTCAAAAACCCTTTGGTATGAGGAACTACTTTCTTCCGGATTCAAATCATAAGCGGACAGTTAAACAGCTGAGCAAGCATCTTTTAAACTTTAGATCTGTAATGTCTGCTTTCTGTTGGCTGTATGTGGGCGGAGTAATACACAAAGGGTAAAGAGGCTGTAGGAGTTCTGATATTGCAGCATGTCGCACTGCTATCAGCCAATCAGATTTGAGAACCAGACAGAACTGTTGTATGTATGTATATATATATATATATATATATATATATATATATATATATACATTTTTTTAATAATGCACGTTCTCCTCTTGTTGGCGTGGGTTTCCTCTGTGTGCTCCGGTTTCCCCCACAATCCAAAGACATGTGGTATAGGTGAAATGGGTTAAGCTAAAATTGTCTGTAGTGTGTGAATGAGTGTGCATGGATGTTTCCCAGTGTTGGGTTGCAGCTGGAAGGGCATCCGCTGCATAAAACATATGCTAGATAAGTTGGTGGTTCATTCCGCTGTGGCGACCCCAGATTAATAAAGGGACTAAGCTGAAAATAAAATGAATGAATGAATATTTTTAAATAATATTTAGGGTCGATATTATTAGCTCTCTTAAGAAACTATCATTTTTTTTCAATAAGCCTTTTAAGTGCACTTTAGGCTCAATACTTTAAAATCAACCCAGGTTTATTGCGGATACGTACCCAGGTCTACATTTCTGGGGACGGTGAAATACACAACCGGAGGTACCTCTGCTTGCAGTTTTTGTTTTTGCAAATCCAGAGACCGCTGTGAATGCTTAATGATGATCACAAATTCCTCTCGTGCATCCTTTTCTGGCATTAATCCACCAGAGGGTGCAATATACACTTCAGCCAACCAGGCCATCTTGCTGTCGACTGACTGACCCACCGACCACCGTCTCTCAATTCAATTCAATTCATCTTTATTTCTATAGCGCCTTTATAATGTAGTCTGTGTCAAAGCAGCTTAACATAGAAGTTCCAGTAAAATGAAACTGTCAGTCCAGTTTTCAGAGTTGAAGTTCAATTTAGTTTAGTTCAGTGTGGTTTCATTTTTACTACTGAAAGTCCAAACACTGAAGAGCAAATCTATCGATGTCCCAAACCAAGCAAGCCAGTGGTGAGGAACAAAACTTCACCAATTGACGAAAGTGACAAAGTAAAAAAAACCTCGAGAGAAGCCAGGGCACTGCCGCTTCTCCTCTGGCCAAACTTCCAGTGCAGAGCTGCAGTCTAGGCGCCGGAGGCTGGAGAACGCTAGACATCCATTGTGGATAAACTCCACGACCGATGCAGTTAATTGTATACCCAACCAATAGTGTTTTCAAAAGCAATCTAGAAAAAGAAAAGCTGTCGCAGTCATGTAATTTTACCACGTTATTGATTTATTTATTTATTTTTTCTAAATAAAAATGTATTCTTTTGTTTTACCTGGTTTATGGAGCCGGTCTTCATCGGACTCAAACCCCATCGTCACAGTCAACTCTGCTTCGCATTCAAAGTCCACTGACGTACGCAGCGAGCTACTGGGCAAACTGGTAACACCGGAAAAGCTGTCCACGTGGAGGTAAGCGGTCAGCAGATATCGCGAAAAAGAACAAAAGCTTCAGCGGCGTCATACCAACCCCCATAGTGTTCATTTTAAAGACGAAATGCAGCCATACATACTTCTGGCTACATAATTCGCGCTCTCTAGAAATGTAGACAGGGGTACATATCCACAATGAGCCTGCATTGTTTAAAATTGCTTTAAAACCTTCATTTAAAACTCCCTTTATTCCAGCTAAACGAAAAGAAATATGACTTTCCTCAGAAGAAAAAATATAGGAAATGCTGTGAAAGAAAATCTTTGGTCTGTTAAACATCACTTGGACCAACATTTCACAGGAGGGTGAATAATTTTAATGCCCTGTTTGAAGTGAACAGCATATTCCCAGCCCTCACATATATCTAACACTGCTTTCACTCATTCCCAGATTTGTGTTTGTCTGCCCGCCCTCTCTCAGGAGCTCTCAATCTCTCATTGGCTGTCAGCTAATGACAGTCCGCTCTGATTGGTGGCTGATTGCACTGTGGCTCAGACTTGAGTGTTTAATGAAAGCTCACTGAGTCCTGAGGTCTTCTGAGAGCTCAGCGGGTTCAGTTTCAGAGTAAAGCTTTGATTAATGTCTCCTTCACACACACTCGAGTGCTTTATTGGACGTTCGCTAAACCCTGAGTGCGTGCAAATGAGCTACATTACTAACACTTCACTTTGCTTTAACTCCTTTTTATCAGGGGTCGCCACATGGACATGCATGGACATAAACGTAGCATAAAATAGAAAAATAAATCTGATATTAAAAAAGCATGAAAGTGTCTAAATTAGGATTTTATTTTATATGAGTGAGAGAAAAATGTGGTTGCTCCATATTTAGACACTAAACATATTATTAATGTATTAATTACATATTACTGTTAGCATATTAATGACAATATATTTCCCTACAGAAGGCTGGATATTCAAATGATTTATTGTTTAAATGTTAATAATAGTGTATTACTGTATTATTAACCTATTATATTAAAGTATTCCCATATTAATAATCATATATGTCCATAGAGGAGGATCTAACAAGGCTCAATGGTGTCTCTGCCATAGAATGGAAAATAAACTTGCATATGAGCTTCAGACTCACTCTGGCAGAGCTGTTCACTGTTCCTGTCAGCGATCTCCCAATAATATCCAGCTGCAAACTCAACCGCCATCAGATCGACATGTTTCAACAGATTTAGGGTTTTTTACTGTATTTTGCATGTTTATATTTTGTATTTTTTAATAGTAGATATTTAGTCAGTCCAGTTTAAAGCAGAAGCTGGTCTTTTGCATTG